TAGCGTTGTTGCTTCAATTGAGCTACCGTATCCCACACATCGTTAATATTTTTCATTTAATAGTTGTATGAATACTTGCGCGACGTAATTTCAACTTTAATACTTGCGTATTGAGGTTAAATGTTCCGTGTTCTTCATCGTAAGATACCATTACAGGTGAAATTAGTTTTAACGCTGGAAACATTATAATTTTTAACATTTTAGTGCACATGATAGCTTATTTAAATTTTCCGAATAAAATAAATTTTCTATTTATGTAACTTCCCTATAAGAATGTATTTGTTAATGAGAGATTTTTCAAAATGTTTGCATTAGGAATTTCATTATCTCCACAAGATTGCGTTTCTATTCAGTTTAGAGTGTTTCACTACAATATTGTTAGATTTTTCTGTTATTAGTTTCCGCCTAATTTCCGCGATGAGATAAAAGCTTCGTCTATCACCGATTTGGCTTTTAAAACCACATTATGGAATTAGAGTGTCCAATTAGAGAGTATTTCTCCAGCGATTTGAATGTAAAATGCAAGCTGAGGTACAATTTCCTAACGAGAACGGAGCCTGCGAGCCTCCACCTAGTAAAAAGAATTTTAAAACCCTAAACCTCTCTGTGAGAATTTTAATGTCCAAAGACTTCAATTGAACGTGGTTTGGAATTATTTTTTGGTTGTATTGCAGGTCCACCGCTTAAAGCTATTGAAATTTAAGTATTTTCGCGTTTAATGAAATTAATAGGAGAGGACGATAAAGCTCCCATGGGAGCTTGACATAATAACAAAGAATACATATTTACTAGTAGAAAAACAACGTTAATACAACGACCAATAGAAACGTTGCTTTAACAATTATTTTAGATTTAAAAAAAAAAAAAAAAAAAAAAAAAAAAAAAAAAAAAAAAAAAAAAAATTAAAAAAAAAATTTTAAAAAAAAAAAAAAAAAAAAAAAGCGTTTTAAAACCCAAAAAGGTTTTTTTTAAAAGTGTACAACCCGCGTAAACTATAGACAGTATTTAATTATTTTAGTTAAAATACTAGTAGGGCGGGACTCGAACATTCGACACACGTTAAAGACTCGAACCATTGTGTGCTCAATTGGTTGGTAAATAAAGCAGGTAATTTTTAGTTTTCTTTTTCACTTTTTGGTTCACTTGATGGTAACTGATTTACCTCAGCATATAGCTAAATCTACAGACTGAAACCGAAACACGTTTATTACCACTGTTACTTCAACACAAGGTAAGTAGATTTTAGTGCAAAAGATAATAAAGTTATATGAAGCCTGTAAGTTGATACAACCTGTCTGGTGTTCAGTTAGTGTCCTAGCAGAATTCACGAGCTAGATGAGCACTTAATTTACAAACACAAGATGTTTGCTCTTCCATTATCTTACAACGCTAACGCGATTAGGTTTCCGAATGGAAGGGAATTTCTGAATTTAACAATTAAGCTACACTGAAGAGAAAATTCAAATTTGGTAACATTTCTTTTAAACACTGCGTAGTTGAATACACAAATATGGCGTACCGAAGTTTGTTTAATGATGTTAAAATATTTGACTTATTTTATAATAAGAAAAAACAAATGTAACGAAGTTCTATTTGTCTTTGATAAATTACAATCTAAGTTTAACTTATAAGTATCCTAGTTAGGTATGTTATTCGTTATTTGTAGTTTTCATAAGATTTGTAAATTAATTAATACGCCAAGTTTAGCGAACCCAAATAAATAAAATCATAGTGTATTGTTTGTGTTTTTATTTTATTTCAATGTATATTTTCATCTCTTTACACTAGTTCCAATTGGAAATAATTGAATAGTAGAACTACTTTCTGAGAGCTCAAAATATTGTTGGAATATAATCCTTGAAAGTGATGACATCAATAGGAAAGTGGCTCTGTTTAACTCCCTTTTAACCCAGCTTTATGACAAACAGCGCTGTTAACCGGTTAAGATGAAACATTGCCAGCTCCATGGCTAAATGATGAATTAGGGAACTTCAAAGGGCTAGAGACCGAGCGAAGGCCGCGTAAAAAAGGTTAATAACAGCGCCAATCGAGACAAGTATGTCAAGCTAAGAAATGTTGCAATACGTGTAGGGACGCACAATGCCGCCATATCTACTCGTCTGTTGAAAACGGCAACACAATCAAGACTTGGAAATTTTTGAAAACTTTAGGAATTGGCACACAGAATCATTCACTTTCTAATAATCTTAACTTGGATTTACTTAACCAACATTTTACTAGTCCCTCATTCACATTTCATACCAACGATAAGATTAGTACTTTAAACTCTCTTTCATTTGCCAATCCCACTGCTCCACCGTTCAGCTTCTGTCCGTTCACTGATTTGAGTTAAAAAGAACATAATTTCCATCACTTCTAAAGCTGTTGGTAGTGATTGCATTGGTCGTAACATGATCCTTCCTATTATCGATATCCTTGCTCCCGTGATTAGTCACATACTAAACTTCTCCTTAAATCGGGCGTGTTTCCCATTCCTGGAAAGATGCCTATGTTTACCGATCCTAAATCTCGTCCTCTAACATTCTCGGACTACCGCCCCATTTCAATCCTCCCCTTTCTCTCCAAGGTCCTCGAACGCTTAGTCCACCATCAATTTTGCATGTACTTAACAAAACTATTTTCTTAATCCTCTCCAATCCGGCTTTCGTCCTGGTCATAGTACGACTACTGCACTTGTCAAAATCACGGATGACATACGGCGCAGTATGGATAACCAGCAGGTGACCATACTTACTCTTCTCGATTTCAGCAATGCGTTTTGTACTGTTGATTTTGACATACTACTCAGCTTACTCCGTTCTATCAACGTATCTCCAACTGTGATCGGGTGGTTTCATAGTTATTTGAAGGGACGCCGCCAGAGGATTGACATACAGGAAAAGTCTTCCTCGTGGCGTGATCTTACTGCTGGCGTACCCCAAGGTGGCGTGCTATCACCTCTTCTTTTCTCTATTTTTATTAACTCTATCACTAGTAATATTTCTTCTCTCTATCACATGTATGCAGACGATCTTCAGATATACAGACATACCAGTCTCGAGGAACTTCCTCTTGCGATTCAGTCTACTAATCACGACCTAAATATCATTACTGACTGGTGCACCCGCTTTGGTCTCAAAATTAACCCAACTAAGACCCAAAGTATCATCATTGGTAGTAGTAAGCTTATTGGCCGGGTTGACAGGCAAAGTATTTCACCGATTGTTGTAGACGGTACTATCATTCCTTTCACTTCTTCTGTCAAAAGTTTGGGTCTAATTATTGACGAAAATCTGTCCTGGCATCCTCATCTGAACCAGTTAAGCAAAAAAATTTATGCCGCTTCACACTCCCTAAAACGGTTACAAAATTTCCTTCCAATCCCGACAAAAATTTTGCTTGCTCAGTCGCTCTTACTCCCTATTCTAGATTATGCCGATGTCTCATTCACAGATTTAACCGAACTCCAACTTGACAAACTAGAGAGGCTTCAGAATACGTGTATCCGTTTCATATTTGGCCTTCGCAAATTTGATCACGTTTCTGAATTTCGTAGAAAACTTAACTGGCTCCCAATCCGAACTCGTCGGAATTCTCATCTACTCCATCTCCTCTACCGTGTCCTCTTTGATCCCAAAACTCCCTCTTATTTAAAAGAGATATTCATCCTTTTAAGTTCCCACCAGTTAAATCTTCGTTCGATCGATAATTGTTTATTTGTTCCTAAACATAAAAGCTCTTTCTTCAATAATTCCGTCACAGTTAAAGCTATCCGTCTTTGGAACTCTCTTCCCACTAATATCAGAAAAGCTCAATCACTCCGTTCTTTTAAGAGTTTGCTGTATAAATTTTACGTTTCCAATATTTAAGTTAGTTTCTCTCCTACTCGTTGTGTGTACTTTCACTATGTACCTTTAATATTTGTTGTTATTCCTTACACCTACCCACTAAATTAATTATTTTATATTTATTTTCTCCTCTACTTCAGGTTGCCTGGAAGAGATCGCTACTTAGCGATAAGGCCGCCTTTTATTTATAAGTTAGCACGTAAGATATTTCCTCAATTATATGTTTTTCTGTGGTGTGTTTTATAAATAATAAAGCAATAAATAAATAAATAAATAAATAGTGTTGATTTTTAGGGAGTAAAATATTATGGAATATGTGTATGTTAAGTCTTATATTTTGCACTAGTCTACTATCTACTAGTAGACTATCCACGGATATATTTTATATGTATACACACATTTTTATTATTTTTCACAACGAGTTCAACTAAAGTCCTCGGTTCTATTGTATAATCGGACAGCATAACGGCCTTCGACGCTGGCAACGTAATTAGCCGTTCTGTTTTACGTCTTAATGGATGAAAATATTTCTCCAGAAATGAGCTAAATTAAGCTGAACACTAACCGTGATAAATGAGCGTTCAAATGCAGATATTTTTTAATAGAAATACCTAAAGACTGGTGAAATGAGATTATTAAACTCTCTGTAACCGAGTTTTCAACATAATTTACACGATACAATAGGTAACAAAGTATTTTGTTTCATGTCGTTTATTAAATATTAACGTCCTATCACCAAGTCATTAATTACACGTACTTACTTAGCGTGCCTACGGTTAGCGTGCTACGACATTTCGTAGGTTGCTACAGCGCTACGCTCAGCAGGTGACCTTTATAATCCGGAAAAACTTATTAAGCTCACAACTTACCGCACTTAGTCACCGCGCCGCTACAAACGTAGCGTTCATAACGCGCTCGCATTTAACTGGGAACTAACTTTTAACAAGTTCGCGAGATATGTTTGTCGCTAATAAGTTTTTGCTTCGCGGCCCACGACGCTAATAAAACTTCATCAGTTCTACGTGAGACGTGAGGAGGAACTCACAGTGGCTTTCGAAGCCTCCGGCGAGAGGGAGCGATTCGCGCGAGGCTCAGTCGGGCGCCGGCCTCTGGCAGCGCCGGTCGTGTCATGAATTGCGCAAGGTAAAGGGTATGCGGGCCGCGCTCGCCGCGCTCGCGGCCTGCTGCGTGGTAGCGCGCGCTGAGGTGCCCTCCGCGCGTCTCGCCCCGCGCAACACCACCACACATCATGTCCTCCAGTGCAGCGAAGGAGTCGTCCTTCCTGTCTGGCTCCCCCTCGAAGATGTTCCGACCCTTGACATTGCGATCCGCGGGACCGTATACTTCTTGTCGCTGCTGTACCTTTTCATCGGCGTATCCATCGTCTCAGACAGGTTCATGGCCGCTATCGAGGTCATTACGTCCAGGGAAAAAGAGGTGCGCGTACGGCGAAATGGAAGCGATCAAATTATTGTTGTACGAGTTTGGAACGAGACAGTTGCCAATTTGACGCTAATGGCATTAGGATCGAGTGCACCTGAGATTTTACTGTCTGTCATTGAAATAGCGGGAAAAAACTTTGAGGCTGGTGACCTGGGCCCCGGTACAATCGTGGGGTCTGCTGCTTATAATTTATTCGTAATAATTGCGATTTGCGTATTTGTTATTCCCGATGGCGAAGTGCGTAAGATAAAGCATCTTAGGGTATTTCTGGTCACGGCGACTTGGTCTGTTTTTGCCTACGTATGGTTGTACTTGATTCTGGCTGTTATTTCACCGAGCGAAGTAGAAGTATGGGAAGGTGCCGTCACGTTTCTATTCTTCCCGGCAACGGTGTTAACGGCTTACATAGCTGACCGAAGGCTTTTGGTTTATAAGTACTTGAAAAAGGGCTATCGTGTGAATGAACGTGGCGTGATCGTAGAAGTAGAGGGTGATGGATCTGTTGAAATGGCCCTTAAACCATGCGAATTCGGTGATGATGAAGAGGGCCGTGAATTAGAAAAATCACGCAAAGAATACGTTACAGTTCTGCGAGATTTAAGAAAACAGCACCCTGAAGAGGATTTAGAAACGGTTGAAAGAATGGCTTTAGAAAGTTTGATGGCCAAAGGGCCGAAATCACGTGCTTTTTACAGAGTAGCAGCGACAAGAAAAATGACCGGTGGTGGAGACTTTTCTCGAAAGATATCTGAAAGAGCGCAAAGTGACTTAAGCGAAGTAAAAGCAGAGATACAGCGTCGGGAGTCGAGTTCTGTAACTGCGGAGCCTAGAGGGCCACACCTTCGTTTTGACCCAGATCATTATACGGTTTTGGAGAACTGTGGATCATTCGAGGTCAGAGTAGTCCGCGGGGGAGATTTAAGTGGAGAAGTGACCGTTCAATATACCACAGAAGATGGCACAGCAGAGGCCGGATCTGATTATGTAGCTGCACAAGGTTCACTTACGTTTGGACATGGAGAAACTGAGAAAAAGTTTTCTGTCCAAGTCATAGATGACGACGTGTTTGAGGAAGACGAGCATTTCTTTGTACGCCTCAATACGCCAAAGGGCGCATGTTTGGCATCACCGTCTATGGCTACTATAGTGATTTTGGACGATGATCATTCCGGTGTGTTTTCGTTTTCCCAAAGAGACTATGAGTTGACGGAGTCAGTTGGGACGTATGAGTTGAAAGTGGTGAGGACGGCTGGGGCGAGAGGTCGAGTGCGTGTCCCGTACAATACAGAAGATGGTACGGCGAAGAGCGGTTCCCAGTATGAAGCCTGTGAAGGACATCTCATCTTTGAAAACAATGAAACTGAGTAAGTACATAGAGCATTAATTGAAATTGCGGTCTACAGGGAAATACCAATAAGATAATTGCCACTGTGTTCACGTACAATTCTACCTAAATAACTTCAATAATTGAAGTGGTATCTATAAAGAAAGAAAGTAAATACTTATTTTTTAATTTTTTTTAAAAACATGTATTCAATTATTCATTATCTAATTTAATATTTAGTCCTTACTTATGGCCAACACTGTGTTTGACACGTTTGATTTGAAGTTCATTAAAAAAATGGATTTATATAAATATAATCAATTGATATAAAGTGGAAAAAAAGGGAGTTAGTTAACTTTAAAACATTAATATAATTAGCTGTTTAAGAACTCTACAATCCAGAGGTTTATTTTTTATTATTTAACAATAATTATTAACTTAATAGTTAAGAACGCTAATAACAACAGTTTTCAATGCAAACAAAATGCACTATAAAGCATATAAAAATATTTTAGAATGAAAGTTATATGGTGATATTATATTTTTCTGTAATATACTCCATATAATATTAGAATTTAAGTAATTTTCTACTTTTAAAATGCTTTGAAAAGTTCCTAGAAAGCTATAGATTAAGCTTTTTGGAAAATTTCGCTGACTCATGCTTCCTTGGCACTTAATTAAAGTACTCGGTTGCGAGGTAAGTCGACTCATCTATCATTGCCTTGGCTTACTCCGGCCTTCAATCAAAGCTCGTGATATGAAATTGATAACTTCTAGATCGGCGAATGATTAAATACTTCGGTATGAAAGATATAATATAGAGTACTTCCAGCTTTATAACATTATTACAAGTTATATGCTCCCTAGAGTATTTCTAATGCCTCAGAATAAAACAAACTTATTTTTATTAAATTTATATTTTACTATATCGCACTTTACGTACCTATATCTTTAATACTATTTTTGACAGGAACTGGTCCTGTAAAAATTACAGGATCGCTTATAATTAACGGGTTCGATTCCCTGGTCCTATATCTTATAATCAAGCTTCGTTGGTCTAGTGGTAGCAATGTATAGCTAATCAACAAGTCGTGCGTTCGACGTCCACCTACGTGTTTCAAATTTTTTAATTTATATTTTTTTTGAAACATGTTAAACTTCGACTGTAAATCTAGATATTAAATGCGTGGTAGGGATATTCCGTCCTGGTCAAGAACCATCGTCTACAGATGAAAAAGCCGTCATGTTTAATCGCATTTCGGTTTCAGTGTCCGAAAATCCAAAGCCAAAATAGGTCGATAGTGCATCTTGTTTAGATGTTATATGACTAGCGTATTTCTTACCATCAACTGAACAATGCTTGCCTGTCCTCTATTATAAAAAAATCTCAATTTATGTTTAGTTAGTATCAAATCATTGCTAAGGGTCAGTCAAATAAAATTAAATAAAAAACACATTTTTAAGACTAACTTTTTTATCCTACTAATATTATAAACGTGAAAGTTTGTATGTGTGGATGGATGTTTGTTACTCTTTCACGCAAAAACTACTGAATGGATTTCAATTAAACTTTCCAATAATATAGCTTATACATCAGAATTTCATAGACTACAATTTATAAAGATATTTTGTGAGCTGTCCAAAATATGATATTAAGTGTCAAGTAACTAGGAAAACCTACCTTTATGGGAGGTATTCTAGCGTGCGCTGCCATAAACGTTAGTTACACATAATTATGTAATGTATGATATGATAGACATAATTTAGTTTAAATGCGCGATACTACGTAATCCTAATCCTAATCCTGCGTAGACGAAGTCGCGGGCACCAGCTAGTATTAACATAAAAATATTTCTTTTTAATAAGGACTAATCTTAAAATAACTACTGTGACTAAGTTTTTCAAATTGCTCGCGTTGAAATTTCAAATGTACGTACTGTGAAATAATTATGAGTGATAACACAATCTTCATCTTGATAAGTTCGCAGTCCGAGTATCGCAAGCCATTAATATCCAGTCGCTGACCAAGGACTTCGAGGCATTAACGGTACACTTCACAACTTCCCCTTAATTACCCCCAAGCTAAATTATTCTACCACTACATCAAACTCCGTTTCCGTTTGAATGATATTTTATATCAAAAACTCTAAATCAAACTCTTTAACGATTTAAAAATCATTTTATAAGTTTAATGAATTTTTCGGGTTTTAAACCGTTAAAGTGTTTTATATAAATGTGTAGGTACTACTTGCGGGAACATAGACGTATTCAAAAACTCTAATTAAAAAATTTAATGACTTGCGTCCACCTATGACCACAGTTGTCCGTGCTTCTGGTCTTTCGAGCTACAGCAATAGAATTTAATCTGTATAAAGCTATTATGTACTTTGTCCATATATTTAAACTATTCTGCTTTTAAAAAATCGAAAATAAATTGAAAAAATTTTCGACTCGGGCAGGACTAGAGCAACAGCACGGAAAGCTGACGATGCCGGTTCAAGTCCTGCCCGAGTCGAAAATTTTTTCAATTTATTTTCGATTTTTAAATTATATAGTGCCTACATGTGCAATAACATGTGAAAAAATATTAATGTTTTCAAATATTCTGCTTTTTTTTAGTATATCAATAGTTAAATTTCAAATCAGCAAAATTGAATTCATCAACTTATTGTTTTGTTCCTAAAATTAAGCTTTAGGACTAACCTAAAATTTTTTGAAATAATAAAATGTATTAATCATATTATGTATATAAGAAAACTTATGTTTTATATTAAATTTAACAAACACATAAAAAACACGATAGTGACTTACGCTTACAACACAATATGAATAAAAAAAGTTCTTGAATTAAAAACAAAATTACATAACGCAGTATACAAAACATAGCTCAATCTCTCCGTACTCTTAAAGTCTCAGTTACCAATTTTTATCTTTCCAGCTGTTAATTGTCTTTATTTTTCACGATCCTTTCTAGCACGACTAACCTATAATCCTTTTATTTTATTTTTTGTTTTCCCTTCACTTCAGGTTGCCTGGAAGAGATCGCTGTTTAGCGATAAGGCCGCCTTTTAGTTATAACCTAGGACATAAGTATTTATTGTTGTAAACCATTCCTGTGGTGTTTGTAATTAATGAAGTTAATAAATAATAAATACTAACCCAATCATTATAAAGTTATTACACGTAGCTATGAAATAATCTCTATAACCCCTGCAATAGAAAGGCGTCAACGAAATGTCATTAACGTTACGTCCAAGCTATAATTACGGCCAGTTACGGACTTATTAATGCCAAAAATACATTGTACGGTTTCTTGGAAGCCGTATTCGGGTTGATTAGTTAAAGGCCGGCAGAGGTCGTGTAATATGATCGCTGGATTATCCATAATTTGATGGAAATCCTAACATTATCAACACCACAGACTGACCGGCGGGTAAGTGTTCTTAATTTGCATATCGTCATCACTATCGATCCCAGTTGAAACTATACTATAACATATACAAGGTATTTGTGGAAAACGGTTTTTGAAAATGTCTACAAAAATAAACTTCAACTTTACAGACATGGCACAAAAAAAATAAAAATTCTTAAAAATTAAGCTTATAATTAAATATGCAGCCACGACATGCAAATAAAGGTTAAACCTACAAAGTTCCTAATAACTAAATCTCGTATCAATGTAACAAGACAATAAAAGAGATAATAAAAAATCAAATATTAGTGTTATAAAAGACAATTTCAGTAATTGTCGGAGGCCAGAAGTACTATTACAAAAAATATCAAAGTCAGAAGAGTGATTTTTACTTACACTTATGTCACGGCTGCTGCAAAGCATCCGAAACGTCGGGCCGAAGTTAAAAATCATTTCCAAATAAGTTATATCGGTATTATATTGCGTTTTAAACCGTTAAAGTGTTTTAAAATATATAGGGAAATGAGGCGGAAAAAGGAAAAAATTGGGGGGGGGAAAATTTTCCGGTCCCCCCCCCCCCCAAAAAAACTTTTTGGTAAATAGTTCAGTAACGCATCTTGTTGAGGTGTTATATATCCAGGGTATTTTACCTTCCATCAAGCGAACCCCATGATGGTTACCTATTACTGGATACCTTCCTCGACCTCATAAGAAAATCTGTATTTGATCGGACTTCTGTGCCCTGTCTAACAAAAACTATTATATCCTGCTGTACTTTACGAGTTATATACACATTTAAATAAAACACTTCAACGGTTTAAACGCGATATATATTAGTTAAACTTATTTGCAGTTAAAATAATTTTCGAATAAGTTCAACTATTATATCGATTTTAACCGTTGAAGTGTTTTATTTAAATAAAACTATTATGATTTTCCTTACACACGAGTTAAGAAGCGGCTTATATTAACTTATATATAAATGCTAGACAGCTATCATGAAATTAACCACCAAAGACGCTAGCACCCCCGCTTTGACGTAGGAATAATTTCGCAGCCCTCTACCAGAACTAATCAATACGTCCTTGGTTGTAAAATAAACCTCAGCCTACCCAGTCAAATGAAATGATTTTCCCAATGCTAACCCAATTGTGTGCATAGAAGTTAGAAGCAAATTGAATTTACAACCAAGTTCATTACAATACAAGCTCTTAGACTACTTACTAATGGAATTCAGGTTTCCTTCCGACTGAAAATTAGAGCTATTGGATTCAGGGCATTCACACCAAACTCACACTTAGTCTTCCTTATTGTGGAAGAAGGTTTTACTTAGTTTCAGCTTCGAATTGAATATATCTTTTTAAAAACACTTTTACGATGCATATAGAAAAAAATATTTTCAAACACTAGAATAAAACAATAAGAAGATATATTCAAAACTAGCTGTGTTTGCGATTTCGTATGCGTAGATCTTAAACCGCAACTTACGCAACGGACACCCACAGGGTTGAAACATTTTCCCGTTCTCTGTTGTTATTAGCCAGAGTGCGATGTTTTATAGCTTTTCTCTAACCAATACAGAAACAAAATCTATTCGATCCAGTAGTTCCCGAGATTAGCGCGTTCAAACAA